CCAGGCATGGTGGTGCACGCCTTTAATCCCAGCACTCAGGAGGCAGAGACAGGTGGATCTCTAGTGAATCCAGGACAGCTGAGGCTACAGGGAGACCTTGTCTCAAAAAGACCAAAAATAATAAATAAATAAATAATTAATTAATTAAATTAAATTAAATTAAAATGAAATATTTTTTTAAAAGACTTTTAAAGTATGGCTTACTCATCTATGTGAAGATCCATAGCAGTGCTAATCCAAGCTTTAGGAATATGGCCTGAGGAGAAAAATACCAAGCTATGAACAGAAGTTACAAAACAAGTCTTAATCATGCTTTAGACTATGAGGTTATGGTCAAAGTCCACACTGACACCCTCAGTTAAAATTCGAGATTAGGAATGGATAGAAAAAGAAATTAATTCCTAAATAACAACAGTCCTTACTTTGTACTATACATATATCATTTATCATGGTTATTTAAAAGAAAAACCAGCCCCTAACAACAGTTCAAATTTTAGTTATCAGGCATATTAACTATGATGGGTTACAAGCAACACTCCATTTCAGGACACAAATCAGTATGTGGATAACAGATGTACACCATGACCTGCAACCAATCCCATTACTCCTCTCAAAATCTACAGGTGAGTATTTACTCATACCTGCCCTTCAATCACAGAAAGACCAAACTATATATATAGCTGTGGTACTTCTGGGCCAGTAAAATGACTCAGCACATAAAGGTGTATTCCACCAAGTCTGTCAACCTGAGTTTGATCCACAGAACTCACATGGTGGAAGGAAAGAACCAACTATTGCAAGTTGTCCTCTGACCTCAATGTGTTTACCATCTCTCATAGTACAGAACAGAGGTGTTTGCTACATGACTACTATGCAATAGATCTCCAGAACTTTCTCAGAACCTTGCATGACTGAACACTTTATCCACTGAACAGTTCAGACCCTCCTCTTTCACCAGTCCCCAGAACCTCTGTTCTATGAGTCTGACTTCTCTAAATACTTTACATAAGTGGAACTGGGCAGTATTTGTAGATCTGCAAGTGGGTTATTTCAGTGAGCATAACAACCTCATGATTAATGCATGGTTGCAGCATGTAAGTTTTCCTTTCTTTAAAGGTGAGTATTTTACATGTATATATCACATTTTTCTTTAAAAATATTTTCCCTTAAATAAATACTGACAATTTAAACCATCAAATCAATTGGGCTAACCACACTTATAACTATAAAAATATTAATTCACTAAAGAATTTATAACCAACATTCTCTAAACTATAAGCTAGTGATATTATATTAGAAAGTAGAAATTCTTACCAAAAAAGTAATACACAATGCAGAAATTTCTACCCAGGAACATGGATTCCACACAGCTATGTTTAATTAGCAAGACGAGAGATCGCCTGAAGTACAAAAATTTGTACTGCTGTGGAAAACAAGAAGAAAAAAGCCGAATGACACATTCAAGTCAAATGACGCATTCCTTATCATTCTGAGGTGAGCACAGCTAGAAGGGGCAGCACATGATACAATCATTTGGAACTAGGGCTGCAGCTCAGTGGTACAGTAGCTTGCATAGTATGGTTCAATCCCCACCACCAAATACTAAAATGAAAACAAAACAAAACATGATTGGGGGTCTGTGAGATTGCTCGGTGGATAAAAGGCACCTGCTGCCAAGCCTAATGACCTGAGTTCTGTTCCCAGGGCCCATATGATAGGAAAGCAAGTTATTCTCTAACCTTCACATACGTACACGCACATAACACACAAATAAAAATGTAAAAACTGTAATTGTAGAAAAAGACAATTATTTATATATATACACACACACACACACTTTTTTTTGGTCTTTTTGAGACAGGGTCTCCCTGTAGCCCCAGCTGTCCTGGAACTCACTATGTAGACCAGGCTGGCCTTGAACTCACAGAGATCCACCTGCCTCAGCCTCCCAAGTGCTGGGATTAAAGGCGTGTGCCACCACACCCGGCTATATTTTTATTTTATGTGTATGAGTGTATTGCCTGCATGTATGTGAGTGCATCCGTGTCACGCAACGCCGCGGAGGTCAGAAGAGGGCTTCGGATTCCCCTGGAACTGGAGTTAAGGACGGTTTGTAGCTGCCATGTGGGTGCTAGGAATCGAACCCGGGTCCTCTGCAAGAGTAGTCAGTGCTCTTAACCACTGAGCCATCTCTCCAGCCCTGCCAGACTATTCTAAAGGCAAAAAATTTAACTATTTCTGATGTTCAAATAGTTAATAAAACATAATAGCACAGTAGCCCCTTTTATCCATGGGGGATACAATCTAAGAACCCCAGTGCATGCTTGATAATGCCAAACCCTATGTATACGCTGCTTATTTCTATATATAACACATTTATGATAAATAATATATTAGGTATAGAAGTTACAAATATCTATCAATAAAATATAACTATTTTATTTAAACTTTATTGTTTCTAAAATAATAGATTTGGGGGGGGGTGTCTTTTTGAGGCATTGTCTCCCTGTAACCTTAGCTGGCCTGGAATGCGATTACTTTCTAGACCAGGCTCGCCTTGTACTCACAGAGATTTGCCTGTCTCTGCCTCCCAAGTGCTGAGATTAAAAGTGTGTGCCACCACACCTGGCAATTTCTAGAATAATAGATTTTAACATTTTCAGACTCTGATTGACTTCTGGTGAGTGAAACTGTAGAAACCAAAACCATAAAGGAAGGCAAAACCAAAGCAGGTAATAGTTTTGGGGTGTTTATTATGTACCAGGTATTGTTCTAAAGCACATTTAATCTATTCAAACCTCACAGCTCTATGAAGGAAGCTTTGAGATTATTCACATCTTATAGATGAGGAAACCAAGGGACAAATGCTAAACAACCAATCCTAGTAGCCAGCCAAAGGAACATCTAGATCATGAAACCAGGCAGATTGGTTTCAGAGCCACATGAACACTAGCCTAGGCATATGAAGCCTAGTGTTCATATTCTGCTTAACCCTGAGCAGATAACATCTCCCCACTAATGATAAAAAATGGATCAAATAAGAAAAAATAACACATATTTTTCCTGAAAAACCCATACTTCAGAAACAATAGTTATCTGCCTCCTCTAATCATGCATTCCCAAAATGACAATGAAAAACATGATAAATTATAAATTAATTTGGAAAGAATCTTAGAAACTTAATGAATAAAAGACGAACTGCCAGGGCTAGAGAGATGGCTCAGCAGTTACGAGCACTGACTGCTCTTGCAGAGGACCCGGGTTTGATTCCCAGCACCCACATGGCAGCTACGAACCATCCTTAACTCCAATTTCAGGGGACTCCAAGCCCTCTTCTGATCTCCGTGGCAAACATAAAATAAAAATAACAAATAAAATATATATTAAAAAAAAAAAAAGATGAACCGCCTAAATTCTGGCTTTCTTTTATGCTTACAGTGGGACTGGCCCTTCTTTAAGGAATTTTAGAAGCTAAAGAAAAGAATTATAGTAACAGGTGGAAACTTTACTTTTATACCATGACTGTAGATGCATCTTACAAAAAGCAGCTCAGATGGATACATGGTAACAAACTGTACAGCTTCAATTATCTTGGCTTATTCAAATACTTTCCAAGTACAAGATATGGCAATACACTGCCCCACTCAGCCACTGGGTGCCACCACCTCCTCACTTCCCAATATAAAGGGCATAGTTCCTATGCTGCTCCTGCTGCAGCTCTCACCTCAACCATCACTAACAGGTGTACAGAGGAAAGACAGGCAGAAAATACCTAGCATACCCCTGCTTGCTCCCAAGCTTAAGAGTTTTTCACAGGGGGCTTGGTTACATTACTCAACATTCACTATACACCAAACTCTACCTAAATGTTCTTAACTCATCTTAATTCTTTCTTTCAACAGCCATGTTGACACAGACTTTCCCAAGCCCTGTATTGATCTTCATTTCTTTGTCCCCTACTCAATATTAGCACTGTCTTTTTCCCTATCAGTCTGTCAAGAATCTAACAAGGGGGGCTGGAAAGATGGCTCAGTGGTTAAAGGCCCTTACTGCTCTCACAGAGGACCCATGTTTCCCTTCCCAGAACCCACATCAGGTAGCTCACAACTGCTTGTAAGTTCAACTCTTAAGGATCTAACACCCTCTTCTGGCCTCTTCAGACACCTGCAGTCATGTGCACAAAGACACACACACACCATAATTTTTTTAAAAATTAAATTTGGAGGGGCTGGAGAGATGGCTCAGCAGTTAAGAACACTGGCTGTTCTCACATAAGACCTGGGTTCAAATCCCAGCACCCAAATGGCAGCTAACAACTGTCTGTAACTCCAGTTCCAGGGGATCTGACAGCTTCTTCTGTCCTCCGTGGGCATTGCACAATTATTTTTATTTTACGTGTGTGTATTGCCTGCATGTAGGTAAGTGAACCCATGTCGTGCAATGCCTGAGGAGGTCAGAAGAGGCTGTCAGATCCCCTGGGACTGCAGTTACAAATAGTTGTTAGCTGCCGTGTGGGTGGTGGGATTCAAACCTGCATCTACTGCAAGAACAGCCAGTGTTCTTAACCACTGAGTCATCTCTCCAGCCCCAAAACAAATTTTTTTTTTTTTTAATTAATCTTGGAGCTAGAGAGATGGCTCACTGGTTAAGAGCGCTAATTGCTCTTGCAGAAGACCCAGGTTTGGTTCCCAGCAGCTCACAACCTTTCCTAACTCTAGTTTCAGGAGACCCAACGGCCTCTTCTGGCCTCTGTGGGCACTGCACTTACATATATGCAGATAAGGTGCACTTACATACATGCAGATAAAACACTCATAAACATAAAATAAATGAAATTTACAAAATAAATAAAAAATAAATCTTAAAAAGAAAAGGAATCTGGGCTGGAGAGATGGCTCAGTGGTTAAGAACACTGGCTGTTCTTGCAGAAGACCCAGGTTAGAATCCCAGCACCCACATGGCAGCTAACAACTGTCCATAACTTCAGTCCCAGGGATCCAACAGCCTCTTCTGACCTCCGTGGGCATTGCACAACAGGGGTACACTTACCTACATGCAGGCAATACATGTATACACATAAAATAAAAATAATAAATACTTTTTAAAAATAAAAAATAAATAAAAGGACTCTGATGGACATTTTAGTTTATTAAGCATGTTTAAAACAAAAAAACTGATGAGCTAAAAAAAATTTTTTTAAAGATCTGATTTTTCAGATTATATTTTTTTATAAAAGATTTTATTTAGGGGCTAGAGCGATGGCTCAGCGGTTAAGAGCACTGACTGCTCTTGCAGAGGACCTGGGTTCAATTCCCAACACCCACATAGCAGCTACAAACCGTCCTTAACTCCAGTTCCAGGGGAATCCAAAGCTCTCTTCTGTCCTCTGAGGCATTGCAGGACATGGGTGCACACATATACATGCAGGCAATACACTCATACACAGAAAATAAAAATAATAAAATATTTTATATATAAAAAAGATTTTATTATTTTTTATTTTATGCATATAACTATATTGGCTGAAGGTATGCAAGTGCACCCACATCACACAATGCCCGTGGAGGACAGAAGAGAGCATCAAATTCTCCTGGAACTGGAGTTATAGACAGTTGTTAGCCACCATGTGGGTACTAGGAAAGAAACCCAGGTTTTCTGCAAGAGCAGCCAGTGCTCTTAACCACTGAGCCAACTCTCCAAGCCCCAGATTACATTTTTTAAAAGTGAGTAAATAATATGTACAATATGAAGCTACTTATGTAAATCCTACCCACAAAATGTATGTTGTAGGTACATAATTATGTAGATGTTATAGGTACATACATTCATGGATGTTTTATGTGCGTGTGAGCGTGTGTGTGTGTGTGTGTGTGTGTGTGTGTGTGTGTGTGTAAATGTCCAGTAAAAAGCCTGGAAGAGGGGCTGGAGTGATGGCTCTGCGGTTGAGAGCACTGACTGCTCCTGCAGAGGACCCGGGTTCGATTCCCAGCACCCACATGGCAGCAACGAACTGTCCTTAACTCCAGTTCCAGGGGAATCCAAAGCCCTCTTCTGTCCTCTGAGGCACTGCAGGACACAGGTGCACACATGTACATGCAGGCAATACACTCATACACATAAAACAAAAATAAATATTTAAAAAAAAAAGCCTGGAAGAATATACACTAAGTTGATAATGACAGTTCTCTGGGACAAAGACTAAAATAAGCTGGGGAGTTGTCACAAGGGGCTCTCTATCTATGGTATTTGAGTGTTTTATTATGAAACTACCACCACTGTACTCTAGGAATTTGGCTGACAGGCAGCACCAAAAATAATTACACAATGATGACAACAGTAATGGATGCTATTGCTTGTTAAAAAAAAAAATGGGAGGGGTTGAGGGGAGAGGCTTGATGGCACACGCCTTTAATCCCAGCACTTGGGAGGCACAGGCTGGTGAATCTCTGTGAGATGGTGGTCATCCTGGTCCATATAGTGAGTTCCAGGTCAGCTGGAGTTACAGGGAGACCCTGTCAAAAAAACGAAAAAGCCAGACATGGTGGTGTGCACCTTTAATCCTAGCCCTCAGAAGTCAGATGTAGATTGATCTTGAGGCCAGCCTGGTCCACATAGTAATTCCAGGCGGGCTGGGACTAGGGAGACCCTGTCAAAAAACAACACAACTGGGGCTGGAGAGATGGCTCAGAAGTTAAGAACACTGGTTGTTCTTGTAGAAGAACTGGGTTCGAATCCCAGCACCCACACAGCAGCTAACAACTGTCTGTAACTCCAGTCCCAAGGGATCCGAAAGCCTCTTCTGACCTCCACGGGCATTGCACAACATGGGTGCACTTACCT